GCATATATTTCATGAAATGACGTTCTGGGCTTGTCAATTCCCCCTGACCAGTCTGTATTGTTCGACATTACTGACCCGGTGGTGCAATGGGATGTTGCCAGGCCTGATACGCGATCCACGCCTGGTACGAGCTCACAGCAAGGGAGGCTATTCCTAGGAGAACGGCAAAGACGACGCCAATTAGTGTCGCCATCATCATGTGCCTTGCACCGCTTTTCCTCTCCATCTCCTGTTCAAGCCAGCCACGCGGCCGTGGATTCTGGAGCTCATTATACAAGTCAGAGAGTCTGTCCGCGAAATAGGTATAAGAAACGTTTTCCTCCCCGACCCTCCTAATGGAGCTGTGCTCGAATTTGAGGATATCTGGGTCAAACGAAGAGCTAGAAACAAGTGACTGGAGAAGTCTTTTTGACTTTGGATCTGCTAATGGAAATAGGACTCCTTGAAGAGAATCCAAGACCTCGAGAACTAACTGCCGCGGTAGTGCTCCCCTAGAAAAAGTGTTAATGCATGACAATGATGACAGAAGCAATGTTTGGATGTCATTTACCTTTTAATTGATAGTGAGAGGCTGGAACAGTCATCTAAGTCCTTTGTCGCTCTTAACTGCTCTTTAAGAAAACCGGTGTAGTGATAAACTTCCAGAATATTATGTCTTCTGTTGAAATGTAGGTGATTTCGGATATCTGAAGTCGCCCTTATAGTGATACCAAGTCGCTTTTTCAGGTGAGCGGCCTTCAACTCTGACTTGACGTTCACAAAAAGCTCACTATTGGCATAGCTGAGCACATGATGGTGTCCAATGGGGAACGCATCCTGGATAAATTTGCTGAATGGAACATCACTTCTCCAGTGCTCACGGAATGCTCCAATTTCTAATATATGGGAAGAATGATGCAGAGCTGAAGGGTCGATCATGAAAAGCACCCTAACGCTGAGGGCCAGCCCATCAATTTGTTCTGCAGAAACCGAGGTAGGATCGGTTGTAGGAAATGCTAGCTGACATAGCTCTGCGAGCGTCGCGTCTGGATTCGATTTCAGGGCCGAGATAACAACGAACAGGTCTTCGCAGGTCTCAATCAAGGTCCTTTTACCCGAGTACCCTTCGATATAGGTTGCAATAATCGCTCTATAATACTGAATATATCGCTGGAGTTGGAATATTCGACTACTTGGGCATTCCTGAGAGATACAAGTCCGGCCCAAGGCACAATCTACGCATACATCCCACGACCATAGCGTCTGAGCAAGCCTAGGGATCAGCTTTCCATCGGCATCATCCAGCGCTTTCAAGGTCATGATGAGACTAAGCTCCGTTCCTTGTAAGGGTACCTAATACAGAAAGAAGCCTGATGTGATCTAGGGAATGTGTTCGGAATTGAAACCTTGACATTTCAATTCTTGGTTTATTAATTTAGGCCTCTATACTGGAATTTGAACTTTTAGGACATGTAATTCTCTGGACTTGCATTCGGCACTGCCTCATACTGCCTGTGGTGATTCGCTGACACCCGCCAAGTTGGCTGTGCATGCATTGGCTGCCCCCCAGCTCAGCCCCTCAACTCCTCAACTTTTTTCAGCTATCATCGCCGATACTCTCTCAACCATTACTCGAATTTTCCCTTCGATTTTTAACGAATTATCCCAGAAGATTTCAAAGCCGAAAATGACGGCTACTGAACGTCGGCAGAGTCATGTCTCTTCCGGAATGGATTCTTGTCAGAAGAAGTCAGCTCATACGAGCCCCATGGGTGCTACAGACATGGAGGAGCTGAAGGAAAGGCTCTCAGAACTAAAAACCCGTTCATCAACCCCACCCTTAGGAGGTACTGGGCCAAACAAGCTGGTCAAGACGAGCGATAAATTTCCCACAGATGGTGGAAGCGACTCAGGTTACGGTTCTATCGCAGCATCGCCAGACTCGCAGAAGACAGAATTCCTTGGCTCCGATCTACCAGGCACTAAACTGAAGTATTTCAGTGATAAGCATATCCCTGATCGACTCAAAGATCGCTTCTTCGATATCAAAGTCCTATACACCCAACCGCTTATCGACGCAATTTCCAAGAAGAGTCCGAGTCCCGGAGATATCTCCATGAAATTGAAATACTTAGGGTCTAGTCCAGAGACAGCAGAGCTATATATTGTTATTCAATGCGACAAAAAAACATGCAAGAAAATCAAGAAATTCTTCGCTCAGGAACATGTGCAAGAAGAATTAAAACCACAATTTCGTGTCCTTGTTCTTAACAAAGAGCTTACACGACTTTCCGACGGAGAGAATAGCCACGATATTCTCGCAAACGAGGATGACAAGGATAGCATTAGCGTTCTCTCCTACTCTTTCCCAGCGAACACGTTTTGCGGCATGAAAATCGAGATGACCGGATTTGATTCTTCAGTTGTCGCTACTTTCGGCGGCTTGATCATGGTCGAACTACTGGAAAAGCGTCTCTACGGGCTCACGGCCGCGCACCCTCTCCAGGCACTTCAAGGCTCGCAGCCGCTAGTTGATGAAGAATCAGACTCGGAGTCTGACTGTTCTGATAGCGAATCGGACTATGAAACGTCGGGCTCGCTTAATATTGGCCCGTACCCGTCTCATAACGGAAATTTTGGGGTAAATGACGAAGAGCCAGCCCGGAGACCCAGGACCATTGGAAAGGTCATTTATAACGCGTTCAGTCCTCCTATCCAGGAAAATTATGATTGGGCGCTTATTGATTTAAACGACCAAGAAGTACAACCCAATTTAATTATGCGGGAGACCCAGTTTCAGTCAGACGATTATCCTAGAGAAGCATCCAAACTCATTAACCTATTCAGTACGGATGGTCAGCGAGAGGAATCTGAGCGTGTCATCGTTCTGAGCTGCCGTGGCCCGCAACCGGGGGTGTTAGCTTTCAATAGCTCTTGCTTAAAGCTAGGTCATAGCTCGAAGTTCATCACGACTCATGATTTGACTATGGATATTGCTTCAGGTAAGCCTCTTGCTCGGGTACCACAGAAGCGAGTCGCTAATATTATTCATAGGACTGAATCCTGGAGACTCAGGATCTTGGGTAGTCAACGGATGTACTGGCGAGGTTTTCGGCTTTGTGGTATCTCTGGACGCCTTCGGTGAGGCACAAGTAATGCCAATTGAATTGGCTTTAGAGAATATCAAAACCCGACTGGGTGCGTCCCGTGTATTCCTTCCTACTTTAGAGGATATACAAACTGTTACACGCCGTCGCTTGCCGCCTCTCAGCACCCAGCAAATCACGACATCAGCTGTCAGTAGGGGCGGTCAACTGAGTATCAGAAGATCGTCCTTGAACCCTAGGGCTGAGCCATGGGAGCCGCCTGTGAAGCCGATGGAGGAGCGAGTAATGCATCCGCTATCCTACAGAAGGCACGCATCATATCATCAGCGGAGTGGCGATAATGCCAGTAATTCGTCTATGGTTATCGAAAATTATTCAACCATTTTAGGAACTTCATTGCCGACCACTCATTCTTTCAATCCGATCGTTTCGCAACCGTCATTTCCAATCTCACCTTATCAACAACCACAAAATTTTGATCAGATACCTTACTATGTACCTGGATTCACGGACAGGGTCAACATCAGCATGGTCTCAAACAAGCCGCGAAGATCTGGTACCGATTCAGGCTATGCCTCCCAATACACTTCACCACCTGAAAGTCCGCCTGCCCCGAACATGAATGGCAACAATTGAGAAACATGCCCGGGGCTATGGCATGTGTTATAAAAGGACTCCTTCTGAGAGGTCTTTTTTCTATGCCACCTGATGTGACCCGCCGAATCTACTGGGTTGATAGTAAAAAAACAACCTCTGGCGTGTGGACTCATCTATTGAGTTTTAGTATCTTACCTTTTCTTATGTTTTCTTCAATGCTCTATTATATACTTATATATCTCTCTTACCAATTTTAGACTATAATTATCTTAGTCCATACTTACCTGGTACTTATCTATTCATCTATTGTTGAAGTTGTTTTTCTCTTGTGCCTGCAACCCTAACAGTTTCGTCACATTTAACACTCCAATTCCGTAGAGCAACGCTTGTGCAATGGTGCTTCAGCTGGGAACAAGACCTGTTCTTGAGTTTGTCAGAGCAGAAGCAGACTTCTTCTTTTCGGAATGGCCACTAACACACGGCTATCGTCTGTTTTTTTCCTCCTGTTGAGGAGGGGTCTTTAATACTTGTTAGTTTGGTCGCGCCGACAGCCTTCACAACTCAATCGGTTCTTAACAACAGCTGCTTCACAGACGTTTGCCTCATCATCTACGATTTTGCCTGCCTCAGCTGTTCCGATGCTAATCTAGATCGACAACGTTCAATAGGAATTACTTGGGGAAAAAAGATTAAGTGATAGAACGGCCTATTGGGAGGCCGGCTATAGAATCTTTCGATGGAATTTATATACTGCGTGTTTATTTTGTGAGTCCGATCATCTATCCTGCCTTCCGCAAAACCTGCATTTGATATATACAACACTTTAACAGATAGGGTAGCAAAATGATACTCCCAAACAGCGCCATAATCAACACAGCAAACACACGCACCGGACACCTACCACACAAGTTTCGGTGGCAAAATTAACGGCCCACTAACGAAGGAAACCTTCAACGACGAGGCTCAGATTCTATATTGGGCTGCTGTGCACTAAGTCAACTGAAATTAATCAAGCCAATCATAATACAAGAGAAAGGAAAATTTAAGCTATTATAGATCTAGTAAAGGTTGCTTATTAGCGTGTGAGCTACGGCCCACTGGTTCTATCTGAAGTCGGACATATAAATCTGACCCATCTATAAAGGTTCAACCAATCAACTTCAACTATTCCTTGCCCATGGCGTTCGGTATAGAATTTCTGAAGACCCTGCATCCTGGCCCACATAGTACAGCCCTAACATGTACCGTATATGAACACCATCACATGGCCGTGTAGATATACTCTAAAAATATATATAAAGGAGAAAAAGAAAGACTTGACAAGAGTGGGACTTGAACCCACGCGGATTGCTCCATGAGGATATAGATGTTAAGGGTGGCCACCTTAACCTCACGCCATAACCAACTCGGCCATCTTGCCCTATTTCGGTGATGTTTGTGATCGTTATTCTTAATCAAGAAGTTTTGCCCTGCCTAGGTAGTGGACCCAATTTAGCTCCCCTTGAGATGAGGAATCCAATCTTCATGACACAGCTTCAAGTACAAAACGGTCAAGGAATTGTTTTCTTAATCGATTAGCTTTTGCATCTATTCGTAGTTTTAGATGTCTGAGTAGAGAAAATGGCAAACGAGGAAAAAAAAAACTTCCCGAAATGAAGTCACAGGGCTTCGTTGAGAATAAAACTTCAAAGAGAAAGATTATCATCGCAAACAGATACGGCAAAAACGATGCCCAACACAGGAATCGAACCTGTTGCCTCCTCATTTCAATGTGATATTTTCCGTGTAAAGAAGATATACTAGTGAGGCGCTCTACCGATGAGCTAGTCGGGCCAGATCGTGAATCTGGTCCACCTCGAAGGTGGATCAATTGTTGTGTATGAAAATTCGCTCGCTATGACAATTTATTTCAACCTTGTTCAATTTCAGCAAAATTTCAAACAGTATCATTTAATTCAAGTTGGTGAGATTCTGTCTCATGTGCCGGAGCCTAAGATATAACATATAAAGGCCGTTGTTGCCCAAAACCCCCATTTCACGGTACCAACTATAGAACTGAAAATTATATTATGTCCAGCCAGAATTATATTGGCATTATTAACCGGTTGTCTGGTCACGAGTTCGCTAGCCGTGTTCTATTATATCCCTAACTTAGGTAGGTATATATATAAAGCAGCATTACATTAACATTACCTAAGATAATTACACATTCCCATCTAAAACAGTGTCCGTAGTGTAATATAGACACGACTATCCTGCTTGGTAATCACCTAGGATCATTCGGAGCAAACAGCTAGCGTATATGGCGAGTCTTCGTGTTACTATACCTTCGACAATCGAACAAACTACCTAGCTAGGTAATGTAGGTGCGAACAATAGGTACAGGTATAGGTAGGTAATCACATGGTTGATAGGAGGCAGCCAAGATCATTAACTAGGTAGGTGGTAAATACTAGATTCTATCATTTCCCGAGTTTCCTCCTATATGAAGATACAAGTCTGTACATGCCTATACAAGAAAGTCGATTTGCATAACTTATTAATTGCAGGGTTGCCCACTAGACAAAAGACCATGGCAGTTAACCGTGACATAACGCCGGTGTAGAGACCAAGAGATAGTGTAACAAGTTGATCGGCCCTGCTCCATGGGTGGGTGCCGGATCAGAACAAATGGGAATGGCATTGCATAGCCTCAAAGACATTATGTCACCATACATCCCAGCTGCATTGTGATTATAACCCGAGGTCGTAGGTCTACACCATCACATCTTCCTAGACACGATAGAGATGTAGATATGTCGCTAGTTGCGACGAATCATGAGTATCCTGTTGATAGGGCTCAGAAAGTTAATGGACACTTTAAAACCTACGAAAGCGCTGATAGAGAATCTATAGAGATGTCTCATATATCGCAAACGAAGGTCCCACCACCACGACTGTCAGAATTATCACGGCCAGGAATTCACCCCAGCGTGGGGGGCAGCAGATCTATACTACGCCGATTGGTTAATTCCGTATGCAAGTCACGCTCCTTTTCACGTCTTGCAGAGCGCCCAGCTCAACGTCCGTTCCAGGCTCAAAGTGGTGGTCCCGTAGGAGTAATATAGTGTTGGCTATAACATGAACGCCACCTTGTAAACCGAAGGAATTACTGCGAGGGCAGGCCTCCCCCGTCGATAAAACCCCACGTAAAGATCATGATTCGTTAATTGCTGGTGAGATGGATGCTTGGTTACTTAAACTCCTCCATCTCATGCGGTGAAAGAAGTAAGGGGGCTTAGACTTGAAATGAGGGGAGAGACTATTATTCACTATAAGGGTGATCCGGTGTGTTAATCATGACGAAGATCCATGGGTATAGGCACCGGAACGAGTTCGAATCTATCCGGGTTGTCTTGATTTCTCATAGGCTCGCTGCATAGCTCCCATTAAAGTGATCAATATGTGTGTAACTTTGGCTGGGATTCGATATTGGCCATCGCCCTCAGGTGGTGGAGGGTAGATTGCTCGAATTGGCCGGGACGAAAAGAATCGCGGCTTATCTGCTGCAATATGAGATGTCAATTTCTCCAATTTCCCCTCGTCGAGTGCAGCAATCGAATGCAACGAGGAGATAGTTGTGCATCTCGAGTAGCACAGGAAGGATTGTCCAGCAACGGCTTCGTCGGCAGTTCAACATCGCGATATTTGAAATGCCCGAGAACGCGTCCCGGATCGACTATATTTTGATCAGGAAAAGGGGGGGTCCTCTCTCGGCTTACGTGGTTTGGGGTAGATCCTTATGAGTAAGGAGTTTGGTATTCCTTAGCGCACATTAGACTGCTGAACAATTGTCATGACTCGGGAGGTGATTGGTATCTGGAAAAGTCTCCAAGCTGCCAGGTGAGAACTTGAAGCTACCAACCTTCGCCCCTAACAAGAGGAGCTATTTTAGTGACCCAAAGGGTCAGCGTTGAGCGCTAAGGTACGGCACGGCCACCATTGGCGTAAGCTCCGCATGCAATATGCTGCTCTTGAATGGATGGGATATAGACCCTACGATACACACGAACTATAATACCCGCCTCGAAAACTGCGGGGAAGCATGGGCTGCATGCATGTTGACGGGTATTTGACCTCACGGTAGCTTCCACCCCGCATTCTAGTAACCGTCTTGCATATGAACTGCATCTGTCAGTGGCCAATAGAGATAAGGATGTATGCAAAGCGACCTAGCGTATCAAACTAGCTGGGGTAGGGTGACCACAAGGCTGTGATGGACAACTTCCCGAGCCTCACCGAGGTGCCGCTGCTAGGCGACATCACTTTTACTTCCTGATACATGTTAATTTCGACTGAGAACAGTGTACCTACTACCACGGGCGAGCGGCGAGCCACAGATGGTGACGTGGATAGTCTAGAGCTAAAAATCAATGTAGGGCAGTTTAGACAGAGATCCAAACCGGGTTGTTCCATGTCTGGTTGGATGAAACCCTTCTTGTGCCGCAGTGCTTTCCTGGGAATTTTTTTCCAACTTACCCGACCAGCGTTTCTCGGCTAGGGACACACATGCAGAGAAGTTGCATTGCTACATATCAGATGACCACGAGTATGAGTTGGCAATCATGAACAAACAGTTTACCGGGAGGGGGGGTTTGTTGGGGAGGGGGACTTTAGCTAGCAGTCCAGCTTGAATGCATCCATCGATGGCCTAAGTAGAAGGATCATCATTGGTGGCTTCGTACGAGAAGCCTAAGTGGTAGCACCTAGGCTCCTATAGTTTCGTGTGGGTTCCCCTCATCTTAGATATTTGTAGATCGTGCCCCCTCAGCCCGTCCATCGAACATAAGTAGGGAATCAACACCCCCAGGGAGTCGTTTCACAACATGTTCTCAAAAATATTCGGACGGGATCAAAAACAACAACAAGATATGAGTCCTTTACCTGAGGAATTCGACATTATCGTGTGTGGAGGTGGTAGCTGTGGTTGTGTGGTTGCAGGACGGTTCGTCTTATCTCTAAAAAATTAGCTGCAGTCGCTAGAATTGTGTACTGACTCTGCACAGTTTGGCGAATCTTGATCATAATCTTAAGGTCCTTCTAATTGAAGCTGGAGAGAGCAACCTCAACAACCCATGGGTGTTTAGACCGGGGGTTTACCCCCGTAATATGAAGCTGGACTCGAAAACGGCGTCCTTTTACGAGGCTCGCCCGTCCAAGCATCTTTCTGGCAGAAAAGCAGTCGTTCCATGCGCCCACGTCCTCGGAGGTGGTTCCAGCATTAATTTCTTGGTACGTAATTGGATCCGTGAGACAAACTTACGTTGAGCTGAGACTTCGTAGATGTATACGCGTGCTTCTGCCTCGGATTATGATGACTTCCAGGCCAAGGGGTGGACTACCAAGGAACTCCTTCCTCTCATGAAGAAGCATGAGACTTATCAGCGAGCCTGCCACAACAAGTCAGTCTATCGAACCAGTGTTTTGACAAGTACTAATTAGCCAAGGGATATCCATGGATTCGAGGGACCGATCAAGGTTTCATTCGGAAATTAGTAAGTTGAATATCTTAATTCAAGCTTGAATGCCTATGAGACTAATTGCAATTCAGCACATATCCCATTAAAGATGACTTCCTAAGGGCAGCAGAATCCCAAGACATTCCTGTGGTTGATGACTTACAAGACTTGACCACTGGCCATGGCGCTGAGCACTGGTTGAAGTGGATTAACCGTGATGTACGTCTCCCTACCCTTATATGACTTCGGATTGATGACTAACCATCAATGGGATATAGACTGGTAGACGTAGTGATAGTGCTCACGCATATATTCACTCGACTCGTGCCGTCCATGACAATCTATACCTTGCTTGCAACACCAAGGTAGACAAGATCATCATCGAGAATGGCAGAGCCGTAGCCGTCCAGACAGTGTAAGTTTAGATCCACTACCGGACCGTACGCAGAGATACTGACTTAGCTCAAGACCGACTAAGCCCCTACACCCCAATCAACTCAAGACTCGCACCTTCAAGGCGCGCAAGCAAATTGTTGTGTCTGGTGGCACCATTTCTTCCCCGTTGATCCTTCAGCGATCCGGCATCGGTATTGCCTCAAATTAGAATGCGGCGTCTTCAAGTATTAACAGTATCTAGGTGATCCCGCGAAGCTTAAGGCAGCCGGAGTTGAGCCAATTGTCGACCTCCCCGGTGTTGGTCTCAACTTCCAGGACCACTACCTGACCTTCTCCGTATACCGTGCAAAGCCCGAAGTTGAGAGTTTCGACGACTTCGTTCGCGGTGACCCTGAAGTACAGAAGAGTAAGAACGCCTGTAACCACATTTCCATGTTGAAAACGTTCTAACTGGACATTAGGGGTATTTGACGAATGGGCATTAAAGGGAACTGGGCCCCTTTCTACCAACGGTATCGAGGCAGGCGTGAAGATTCGTCCAAGTGAGGAAGAACTCAAGGAGTTTGAATCTTGGCCCCATCCGCAATTCAACGAGGGTTGGAAATCATACTTCAAGGACAAGCCTGATAAGCCAGTGATGCACTATTCCGTCATCTCCGGTTGGTTTGGCGACCACATGCTCATGTAAGTGGTATTTGACTGAGATGTGACCATTCTCCTCGCTAACCGTATAGGCCACCCGGAAAATTCTTTACTATGTTCCATTTCCTGGAGTACCCATTCTCCAGAGGCTTCATACACATCAAGTCGGCTGATCCCTACGAGAATCCCGACTTCGATCCTGGATTCATGAATGACGAGCGCGATATGGCGCCGATGGTCTGGGGCTACATTAAGTCGCGAGAGACGGCTCGCCGCATGGAAGCGTACGCTGGTGAG